AAATACCTAATACCTATTATAATAACAGTTGTTCGCGTACCTTTCAATTTTACCGAAATTTTCAATAAATTAAAAATACGTAATACCTATAATCTTTTTTATAGATATTACATATTTTTTGTATTTACTGAAAATTTCGGTAAAATTGATACGTACACGAACTCCTGTGATTGCCAGAAGGTCCCCCAACAAAATGTTATGATCCCGTAAAGACTCTTATTTTTTCTCTTTTATTAGAGAAATTGTTCTTTTTTAACCAGTCCAGAATTCTACATGCCAGGGATATTATCTTCTATAACCGAAACACTCGAGGTATTTTGATCAACATAATCATGCAGGGAACTTAAAAAGTCGATAAAAATAAGTAATAGTGAGTATTTTTGAGTTTCCATGTAATATCTGGAAGCTTTTTGGCGTCAGTTTACTTGTACTTACGTACTATACTGAGGATAGGAACGTGAGCCCCTGTACTAACAGTCTTATCACAAAAGTTCGTGTTTCATGTGTCAAGGTGATAGAAAGAAATTCCAAGTGTTTTTGAATCAGAGTGAGATTTTCTAAAAATAAATTTTAAAACATTATACCTGTTTATTATAAAATCACGAATTTTGAATTCACGTTTTTACAAGGCAATTGACAACACACATAAAAGACAATTTAGTATACAAAAATATATTAGGTCTAAATTATTTCTATACGTTAACTGACACCTTAGATAACTGTGTACATGATTCTATCAAAATTATCATATGATTGACAATTGACCATATCCCTTGGGAATGTGACCTTGTACACTTACTCATTGAAAACTTTGAATATTATCTCCAGCAGAGAAACCCCCAGTTGCCCATAACAAAGAAGTATTTATTTCAGGTATTGGAGGAAGAAATAATGAAAAAGCTTATATCTTAATTTTACGGTTTCATTAAAATATTATATTTATGCTTCTAGATGTACTGAAAAACCTCTGAATGTGCACTCGGCGATATCACACTTGAATCATTTTTATCAAAAACAAAAATTTACATCATTATAAAAATGATGAAAAAGAAAAATTTGACACTCAGTGGAACAGGTGGAACCATTTTGTATTTCGTTCTCTCTCCCTCCCCCCCCCCTCTCTCTCTCTTACAAGACTTAGTATTTAAATGCACAATTCTGTCATAATATAAATTAAGATAATGAATGTTTTTACATAAAATGAATTGTGTTGAAAAATAAAATTAAAAAAAATATATGGTTCTAATAAAATTGACTAAGAAAATCAATTTATTTTCAACCATGCAGTTACAAAATAAAGTCACAAGGTATGTCACATATATTATAGAAAAACATTGAAACTATGACAGTAAATCTAAACTCAAGTTGATAACTACTCGTATAGACGTCAGTATGACAGTAAATTTAAACTCAAGTGATGAACTATACATGTCAGTAAATCTACATTCAAGTGGAAAACTATCGATATCAGTATCATAGTAAATCTAGATTCAAGTGGAAAAGTATTGATATCAGTATGACAGCAAATCTAGATTCAAATGGATTACAATACATGTAGGTGTCAGTATGACAGCAAAATCTAGACTCAAGTTGATAACTATGGGTGTCATATGACAGCAAATCTAGACTCAAGTTGATAAATATGGATGTCATATGACAGCAAAATCTAGACTCAAGTTGATAACTACGGGTGTCAGTGTGACAGCAAATCTAGACTCAAGTTGATAACTATGGGTGTCATATGACAGCAAAATCTAGACTCAAGTTGATAACTACGGGTGTCAGTGTGACAGCAAATCTAGACTCAAGTTGATAACTATGGGTGTCATATGACAGCAAAATCTAGACTCAAGTTGATAACTACGGGTGTCAGTGTGACAGCAAATCTAGACTCAAGTTGATAACTACGGGTGTCAGTGTGACAGCAAATCTAGACTCAAGTTGATAACTATGGATGTCACATGACAGCAAATCTATGGATTTCACTTGGACAGTAAATCTTGATTCAAGTAGATAACTGTAGGTGTCGGTCTGATAGCAAATCGAGACTCAATGACAGCAGCTCTAGACTCTAGTCGATAACCAAAGGTGTTAGTTTTTCAACAAATCTAGACCTAGTGAATATTTAATTAAAGTTACAGAATGACTGCTAACGTAGACTCCATTGGATAAAATATGACAGGTATACCCACCCATCCACCCCATTAAAATACAAATTTAAACTGTTTAAAATGATAATGATGTCACTATAATGGGTGCAATGTGTATGTAATGTAGAGTAACACTTTGCTTTGTTTTCTTGTATCAGTTTGTCGGTATCGTGGGATACTTGAATCACTGAAGCAACGCAGTAGCATTTATTCGTTATATTTGTACAAATTAACCTTAAATGAAATGACTCAATAGAATTGCATTAATATTAATTCATTTTGACTTATTTTGAAAAACAAAATACATTAATAAAGTTAATAATTATATCTAATAAAGGGGGAAAATAAAAACACAAAAAATTACAAAAACGCAAATTAGAGTTGAAAGAGCAAAAATGAAAGCTTGGAGAAATCAATAATAAATTAATATGGAATTACCGACTTTAAAGATGGAAAAGCTAAGGTTTAGTTTGGAAAAGCTAACTTTAAAGTTGAAAAGACAAAATTAAGTTGGAATTCAGACTCAGAAAAAGTCAAGTTGTACATGTAAGTTAGAATTAATAACTTCAAAGTTGAAAAAGTTAAGAATAAAGTTGGAAAAGTCAACAAATGCTAGAAAACCAAGGGTTAAAAATTGAATAATAGAAACATTACAGTTTCAAAGGCCATGCTACTAGTATTATCATTTCACACGGGAATATTAAAAAATACTTATTTTATCTGGTATTTAAAACTACGGATTTCGGATGTGTTTGATTGACACATCCTTGCACTTTCACACAGTAAACTTCATGTAAGAATAGAAATATTGTGTATCAATGAAAAATATTAAAACTATAATCCAAAAAATCACTTTATCACACAACATATCAGCCGAGATACAGTGTATTATACAGACAATTTTAGAAAACATTTATGCCTAAACTGTGTCCTTTTAAGTTACAATTTTAACATAGCAACCAATGATTGCGATAGTATTCAGGTATAACAAAATCACTTTCTCTCAGACATCACTTGCAATGACTTTCAACCCGTATTAGATGTTTGTCGAACTGAATAAAAATAGTACAATTCTTTGTCGGACTTTCAGTAAGGCGTGGCATTCTCGGTACTACAGTTAATTTAATTTAGTGTCTATCAAATGCGAATGGATTCTCATTGGTTAAAAATTAATAACACAAGGAACTTTAAATTGTTGTTGACAAAGATGAGACAACTTAAGTCCCATCTCTTTGCCATACGAAACGCTGTTATTGGAATTTTGCTACACTCGTTGACATTCGCTCGAATTTCTATCGGATGTATATTTCAACAGTGAATGAAAGCCGTGTAAATTTCAGACTCTAATTATGTAACGTCGAGAATTCCACGCCTGTGTTACAACGCACTTTGAAAAATTATGCACTTTGAAAAAAATTTTCAAAGTGCGTTAAATTTGGGACCAAATCAACGCACTTTGAAAAAAAAATTATTTTTTCAAAGTGCGTTGATATCGACCATATTAACGCACTTTGAAAAAAATGTGTATGGCTTGGTCAAGCTTCTTGAAAATCTTAGGTATGAAAAATAATTGATCCTGTTGGATAACTTTTTGGTGATAAGGTTATTTCAGGATGTGAAAGTGAGTGATTTTGATTGTGAAAGTGGGTGATTTTTATTTTTCCATACTTCTTTCACTATTCTCTATTTCTAAATTCTTTCTCTCTTAAATGTTTAACTGTACTTTATTCTTTTTCCAGTTTGCATGCATTTAATGTAAACTAAAATTTATTGAAAGTTTTCAACGTCACACCGGTTATGCAAATACATATATTTGGGTGTAGCATAGGCATCAAATACATATATTTGGGTGTAGCATAGGCATCGGTACCCGCGCGGAGGGGGGGGGGGTTATCACACAAATGTTTTGTAAAAATATGCATAATACAGGCATTAAAAATTGGGGCTTACATCGGGGGGTGGGGGTCCACTTTCAATTTGCGTCTGACGGCTATGACTAAGAAAAAAAGAGTTGGACTGAGCGACCTTCTATATACATGTACTTATCTTCTCCTTGTTTTCAATGAGGGTGAATCAATACATGTAAATTAAAACGTTTTTCGAAAGACATATTTATTACAAATTGATTCTTTCTATTACTACAATCTAAGTCTAGAATTTTTGTTTTATACATATTTTTTCAAAGTACGTTAAATGTCCACATGGTAAAAAATGTTGATGTACACTCTTAACGCACTTTGAAAAATTTTTTTCAAAGTGCGTTGAGTGTGTCCCAAATTTAACGCACTTTGAAAAAAAATTTCAAAGTGCGTTGAATTTGTCCCAATTTTAACGCACTTTAAAAATTTTTTCAAAGTGCGTAATTTTTTCAAAGTGTGTTGCCACCACGCCTCACAGAAAGTCCAAGCTAGGATAACAGAGAATTGTTTTAAGATTAGTTTTGTCTGCATGTTTAACGGTGTTGGAACCCGTTGAGACAAAATGTATTCAACATGCAATAGTTCAGTATGTTCGTACTGGCACTTAAAATATCCTCTGCTCAAAGGCTGTGTCATAAGTTCCGAGAATAGGTCTAAATACGCAACCCTTCACCAGCAAGTGGTGACGCTTCCACATGAGTGAATTAAACAAACAGACAAACAATAGTTTCTTTTTTTTTAGAAAACCATTAGTTTTAAAGTTGTTTGCTTTGCTCATCTATTACTGAAAACATATATGCTACAATCGCTCATCACTTTATGCAATTTTCGCTGAATTCTAAAATTCAATAATCATTTTATATTCGTATTTGTAGTTTTATTTTCAATTAAGGTAACGATACTTCTTATCTTCACGCGTGCGCGTGATAAAACTTGCGCCTATCGTAATAATAGTCATTTTCGTGACATAAGTAATCTATATAAACCCTTGGTTGAAATTCTATCTCTACAAACAAGTCTAACAATGAAGGTCGCCATTGTTCTAGTGGTATTGTGTGCTATCCGTAAGTATATCAAGATATTTACCATTATCTAGGATTTTAACAAGATCAAATTTTGTACCCTATTTATGTAAGAAAGATATCCTATAGTGACGCGTACACGTATTTATGATCTGTCTTAAATCGACCACAAGTAAAACTATTTCAAAAACGATGTTGTCGATCATTTTGCTTTTTCTTCTGAAAAAAGTAAATAATTTTTTTTTTAAATTGTGAATGTGAAACTTCATCTCATTGGAAAATTTATTAAAAAAGATATCAAAATATAGGAATGAAAGAAGTACATGTATCTGAGCCTGATTAGAATTGTTTTCCAGAAATAATTTATAGAAGCAATAGACAAAATAACAAGTCAGTTGACTGTTTATTAGTTTTCATCGGAACACTTTAACTAGTATTCTTTTTAAGTATTCACCAGGTTTTTGCTTGCCATCGTGACTGTTCAATCCTTCTAAATGTTATAATATAGTATATACATATCTCAGTGTTAGTGTACGATTGATAAATGTACATTAATTTCGACTAGATATTTTTGATTGATACTTTTACCAAATATAGGGGCAGTTCTTTATTGAATTCCCTTTAAGCTTCAAACCTTCAGGGTAGCTCATTTGGAAGAGCTCTCTCATTCCGTGACTAGAAGGTCGTAAGTTCGAACCCCGGCCGCGACTGACCTAAGGCTAATATAAAGGTAGCAACTGTTCCTTCGCCAAGCGCTCGGTACCATGAAGTAAAGGTTACTGGTCCTTTGGACGAGACCTCAAAACCGGGTCCCTGTGTCGTAGACGTTGGTATGGTAAAGAACCTCACTGCGCAATGGCCCTGAGCGCCGATTAAACGTTATATGGTGACATCTTTATATGAGTGAAGAATTCTCGAACGGGACTTAAGGGGCAATATCCTTCTGCTCCAAATTTCACGATTTTTTTTTTCCAAACATTGATTTTCATCAACAACTATAGCATTAAATTCAAATGGAAAATAGTTTGAAGTATGAAGCGTTGCTTACTTTTTCAGAAATGAATAATATGTCATATCATGATATGAAGAAAATTTGATATAGTAAATAGGCAGATCAATTATGTTTAATCTTTCCATTATCGCCCACGAAAATATTTTTAGTGAAACAAAATTATATCAATTAAATGTTTATAAACAATTCTGCTTCTGAAATGTCTGTAACAATCAAATGACTTGTACGTTAAGAGATAGAAATATCTCAATTTACACAGTTTAAAGGAACTGAGTTTAAATGTTTTAGGTAAACTATTATAGATAATTAATAAAAATATTGGCAATAGAAACTAAAAATCCACATCTGAACCCGATAATTGATGCTATTGAGTTAACTATAAAATGGTCCTTGTAAATGAAATCAATGAAATCTGACATAACAATTCATTAATTTCATGGGAACTGTCTTCAGAAAGTTATCTCTCTTAGCAGAGGGATATTGCCCCTGAAAACAACATAAAATCCATAAAAAATCGTCCACGTTTGCCTCATTCTACATATAAAAACAAATTAGATAATTTTTCTATTGATATTTCAGAGTACATCAGTGCTGAAACATGTAGCTCTACAGGTGACTGCCAAAACACAAGCTGTGATTCTACGCACACATTGGAGTGTCACAATGGACAGTGCACATGCGCGGCAGGAGGTAACTACAATTTTTCTTAAGTTTATTTGAAGAATATTTGTCGTTTAAATCTAGTCGAGAAGCCACGATAACAAAATTACATGAAGAGCAAGTCTCTTCAGGGAATATTTCATGAACAATGTATAAGACCTCACAAGCGTAGAAACAGTGTGAAGAGGTGTTAGACATTCTCGTTTTACTAGATCTTGGAATTCTTCCATCTTAATTTTTACAGAACAGCAGTCTAAAATATGAATTATCTGAGTCTGATCAATACATATTGATATGATTAGTTAAAGAAACGGATGTTTACTCGTCCTAGACACCTAATCCCACATCATTTCAAAAAGGGGTCCATTTAAATGCATTCCTCACACATCTGTATTTTTCATAGATTTATTCTAAGATCGCCCACTGTTTTTAAATCTTAAGGTTAGACAACACGTTCCTCAAATATATGTTTTGTATCTCTTGGTATTATATCAAAAATTATTCATATTTGTCATTCTCTTTTGAATTCTACATTGTTTTCAAAATGTTTTTAAATATAAGTACACCAAAAATTGTGTTATAAGCAATTTACAAGATTATCCATAAGGGCTATATAAGAAATATGACCCTATGGTATTTTGGCCAAATGCCTGGTAAAGTACCCTTATTTTTTTGTGAGGAAAATTGTTTAACGTATATTTCAATGACAAATTCTTAGGAAAAATTATATATTTTTGAGGAACGTGTGGTCTGACCTTAAAACTCCTTCCTTTGTAGCTTGCTCAACAGTTAACGATTGTTCAGGATCCTGCAGAATTTTCGGAAGACATGGTAGATGGCACTGTGTCGATGGCCACTGCAGATGTTTCTTTGTATAAACTTATGACACGAATGTTGTAGAACATGTAAAGTACAATAAAAGTTGTTTTTACATTTGAATATATTGATCTTATTTTATTTTTTGGATAAAAAACTCGACATAAATACTTTAAATTGAAATTAATCATAACCGTACAACGAATTAAAGTTTCAATGCACAAATATTTAAAATGATTATAATTTCAAATCTTGAATTATTATTGACATACTTTTACAAAAGCACTCTTTGGTAAAAACATTGCTTTATTTTTGGAAACTCAAATTTGAAACTCAATGAAAAGTCTGAATATTATTGGGGTGTGAAACTTGACTTAGTAATGGGATCAACTAATTTAGGTCCTTGTGGCCCTTGCAGCACCACAAACATAACTTTGGCATGTTAATTAAAAACTATTTTTTTATTCAAATAAAATTAACTAAACACAAAAATGTGTGTGAAAATTTCCGAGTTGTCTTTATATTGAAGATGCGGGTGTCTATTTTATCAAAAAAGCTAGTTTAAAAATAAATAAATAAGAGATGGGTACCCCAAAGCGTCACAGACGGACAGACATTCCGATCACTATATATACTCTTCCACTTTTCAAGCAGGAAGGGGGGGGGTATAAAAAACAGAAGATGTGCTTGTGAAACACAGATGGCCATAAATGACAGCTTATGGCGAGGGTTGAAATTTTTCAAATGCAAGATAAACTGCAAGGTCAAAATTGTTGGTATTCACTTTTCTCAGAAGAAATACACTGTGAAATATGAAAGCCCCTAAGCTTGTACTAACAGCTAAAAAGTTATGGGCAAGGTTATGTTTATTTATGCGGGTCAAACTCTAAGATTAAGGTCAAAAGGTCACAATTGATCGATGGTATTCAAAAGAAGATTTTGGTAAGGTGAATATGTAGGACTCCAAAATGCGATGGGACTCCAAAGTCCGATGGTCACGCCAAAGTCCGATGGTCTGCGCCAAACCCCGATGGTTTGACACGCCAAAGTCCGATGGTGCAGAAAACAATTAACGTGTATGACGTCATAGTAATATTGCGCAAAAATGCGATGCTGCGCCATGCCAAGGCCCGATTGTTTGAAATAAATACTAATAAGTATTAAATGCAAAGACTAACCCTAATCTTTTGGATTTAGGTGGGAGACTAACACTTATCAGTCGAAAAATGTGTAACAACCATAAGCCATAGGTATCTTGGATGGGTGCATGACTAAACCAAGTCAGTCCAATAGTGTGCGAGGACTGACCATAAAACCCCTTGGGTGAGTTCGAAGAAACACATTGGTGTTCAAGAACTAACCCAATCAGTCGAATGGTGTACAAGGACTAACCCTTATAGCTCGGGTGGGCAAAAACAATAAGCAAAATCAGTAAAATTGTAAGCGGGACAAATACAAAATCATTTAAGGAATGTTTTTTAGTTTTGTGTGAGTTATTGGTGTGTGAATCACACAGACTTGTCACGTAGGCATATTTCATGAAGCGCGCTAACTCACACGAAACTAAAAAAACATTCCTTATATTTACATTTAATCTGTTTGGAGGCAACTAAAATATACTTAATATTTGAATTTCTCGCTGCCTTATATTGTTGCATTTTACTAAAGTCGCTGCAGTCTCATTGTGACGTCACGTTAACGCATGTTTCTCCGTGTATATTTCTACGCGTGAGTATACACGAAAATGTTTTTCAAATCAATTTCACAGTAAGCTTACTAGAAAAACACAGCGAATGTAAATATTGGATTTTGATTGCAGGACAACGTCATGACGTCGGACTATTGTGACATCATAAACGTTGATTGTACCTTCGCACCATCGGACTTTGGCGTGTCAGACCATCGCATTTTAGCGTCGCGTGTCTCATAGGAAACAAGCCATCGGACTTTGGCGTGACCGTCAGACTTTGGGGCCCGTAAAGACAGCGAGCCATCGGGGTTTGGCGCAGGCCATCGGAGTTTGGCGAGACCATCGGACTTTGGCGTCACCATCGCACTTTAGAGTCTTACAAATATACCTTTGAAATATAAAAGCCGTTACGGTAGTACTAACGGCTCTAAAGTTATGGTCACGGTTCAAGTTTTCAAAAAGTGGGTCAAAATCTAAATCAAGGTCAAAAGTAAAAAAAAAAATATTTATGCCCATTGTGTCTTATCACAAAGAATACCCATGTAAAGTATGAAAGCCCCAGCACCAACTATTCAAAAGTTATACATGTAGCCAAAGATAAAGTTTGATATTTTTATGCCCTTGTAAACGAAGTTTCGGAAGTATATAGTTTTCGTCCTGTCCGTCCGTCTGTCTGTCTGTTTGTCCGCAAAAAATTTTAACCTTGTCCATAACTTTTGAGTGGGAGGAGCTATGTCTTTCATATTCAATAGGTATATTCCTTGTAACAAGTTAAGACCTTTCTTCGATTCGGTATCACCAATTTGACCCATTGACTTTGATGTTTGAGTCTGACCTACTTTTTCCAAAAATACCACCCTTTAACCTTGGCCATAACTGTTGCACAATTGGAGCTAGGGCTTTCATACTTCACGTGTATTTATTTTGACAAGACCTTTCAGAGGGTATAAATATTTTTGACCTTGACCTTAGAGTTTAACCCACTTTTTAAAATCTTTAACTTTGGCCGTAACTTTTGAACAATTTGAAATATCGCTTTCATATTTCACAGGTGTATTTCTTGTAAGAAACAATTCCTTTGGGAAAGTAATAGGCAAGATTAAAGTTTTGGTGGACATACAGACAGACAGATGGACGGACATGGCAAAACTATATACGCCGGAATCTTCTATTAAACTTTAAACAAGAGGCCCATAGGCCTTATAGGTCACCTGAGCATCATGCAACAATTTTCAAATGATTGAATTTGGTTCATGTTTTAAGCTAGATATATGGCATTCACAATTCAAGAGGCACCATTGCTAATCATAATTATACACTTAGCAATTGTTTAGTTTGTTTACTTAATTTAATATGGATAAGCAGGGTAGGGGAACAAAAAAGTATGTCAACTAATCAGTATTATTCAGCAATAATCAGAAGTGCTCCTACCACACATGAACACTTGACCCTAGGTCTACACATTGCACAATTTTTGAAAAGGCACACTTGCTTATCAAAAATGTGTGATTAATACCAAGGAGCAGATTTCAAACAATTCATTTTCAGTATATAAGTAGAGCCCCCCCCCCCCCTCCCCATTTTGGTATCTCTGACCCACGGGCCTTGAAATTCACAATTCTGGAAGAAAAGCCAATCTCATCATAACTATGTTAATAGTTCATCCTGCTTTTTACCCAGGAGTAGAGAAAAAGATTTTCATAGATGTAATGTATTTTCACCATATAATCATTATAGAGCCACATCCTAATGCCATAACCCCTGACCCTGGGGCCATAAAATTCACAATTTTGGTAGAAGCATTCTTGCTCATCATAACTATGTCCTTAATTAGTTTATTTAATACTCAGAAGCAGAGAAGAAGATTTTCAAAGATTTAATGCATTTTCACTATATAATCAATTGAGCCCCGCCCTAACAACAGAACCGCTGACCCTGGGGACATGAATTTCTCAATTTTGGTAGAAGCACTCTTGCTCATCATAATTATGTACTTAGTTAGTTTATCAAATACTCAGGAACAGAGAAGAAGATTTTCAAATATTTAATGCATTTTCTCTATATAATCAATAGAGCCCCGCCCTAACACTAGAACCCCTGACCCTGGGGCCATGAATTTCACAATTTTGGTAGAGGCACTCTTGCTCATCATAACTACATGTATGTACTTAGTTAGTTTATTTAATACCTAGTAGCAGAGAAGAAGATTTTCAAAGATTTAATGCATTTTCTCTATATAATCAATAGAGCCCTGCCTTAACACCATAACCCCTGACCCTGGGGCCATGAATATCAAAATTTTGGTAGAGGCACTCTTGCTTATCATAACTATGAACTTAATTAGTTTATCTAATACTCAGAAACTGAGAAGAAGATTTTCAAAGAAATAATGCATTTTCACTATATAATCAATAGAGCCCCGCCCTAACACCAGAACCCCTGACCCTGGGGCCATAAAATTCACAATTTTGGTAGAGGCACTCTCGCTCATCATAACTATGAACTTAATTAGTTTATTTAATACCCAGGAGCAGAGAAGAAGATTTTCAAAGAAATAATGCATTTTCACTATATAATCAATAGAGCCCCACCCTAACACCAGAACCCCTGACCCTGGGGCCATGAATTTCACAATTTTGGTAGAGGACTCAATGCTGATTACAATCATACCAACATTTTGACTGCTTGATGTCTGGGAGTAAAGAAGAAGATTTTTAAAGATTGCACTAATTTTAGTGGTTTTTGCCCCACCCCCCGGGCCCCAGGGGGGCAGGGACCACGGAATTCATAATTTTTGTTCCCCTTCACCCATAGATGCTATATGCCAAAACTGGTTGAAAATGGTTCAGTGGTTTCAGAGAAGAAGCTGAAAATGTTTAAATGTTAACGCACGACGCACGACGCACGACGGACGACGGACGACGGACGACGACAGACAAAAACAGATAGCAATAGGTCACCTGAGTTTACTCAGGTGACCTAAAAAAGACATTTTTTCTATCCCTTCAAATTTAAGATTTTGATATATATTAAACAAAGGATAGAAATATTAAAGATGGATTTTATTTTCTATTCAACTGTCAAAAAATAACTTTTGAATGAAACCTGATAATATTTTTTGAATGAAAAACCTCAAATAAGTAAAATACTAAAAAGTTAAGCTTTGCTGTTATAGCAAATGTACAGAAATACTGAAAATATCACACAGTTATTAAGTTTATGAAGAAAAGATTGTTTTATATAATTATTGCACAAAGGATTGTTCGATTTATGCATATCTGCACATATGAAAGCTCTAAATTTGCTGCAAATTATTGTGATTTTGTCTATTTGTATAATAATTATGGACTACGGAAGCCCTGGAGGGACATTGACTTACTTGTAAAAGACTTATTTTGTTATAACTTATTTGTTTTGACTTATTTGTTTTGAG